TATTTAGTTAAACAACTTCATTATTCTCATTTGTTGTAATTCTTGATGATCTTAATTGAATGTGGCATTCATCCAATCACGGGTTTTATAAAATCATCGTTATCTTTCGCTTTCGTATATAATCTACACGTTTATTTGTAAAATTATATTTTTAAAGAAAATGTTTTTGAGAATGACTTTTAAGAGAATGACTAATTCGGTCTCTCTTATAGGCCATTTTATTCACATATTCTTCCACACCATAACTTGTGTCCTCTTCTTCTATTGTACCAAATTTTTGTTGATTGTGTTATCTTTCGTTGGTTGTTGCTAGTTATCTAGATTGCTTTAGTTTGGCTATTTTTTTTTCTGGATCACTTTGTTTTGGATTTATTATGTTTGGTTGGTTTTGTTTATTTTGGCCAAAATGTATTTGATTTTGGTTAATTTTGTTTGATTTAGTTCCCATTGATTTGATATGGTTATGTTTATGTTTACGAGTGTTTTTATTAAACAAATCACGAATTTTAATTTACTTGAAGAATTAAACCCGAAAAAAACTAAGAGCAGTCGGGGAAAAAAAACTAAGAGCGTTGTGTGAAAAGTTTGAAAAAGTGTGATAGTATTGTAAGATTTTATGTTTGAATTTAGAACAACAGGATAAAAGTTCAAAAGTAAATGCTGAAGTTCTTAACAGGATAAAGAAAATGAGAAGAAAAAAAGTAAAGCAACTGGATAAAAAGTGCTTGAATTAAAAGTGAGACACAAACACTTCTCCAAAATTCTTTATCTTTGTGACTCGGATGTGTGGATTTTACAGAAAATAGAATGAAAAATATGAACCCCCATTACAAAATCAAAATTTTCTTATATAATATTTACATCAATAACTGTCGATAATAATTATGTCTCTAACATTCGACACATATATTGCGATGTGGGCCTTTGTCTTATGATGTGTTTCCACGTGTTTTTAGTTTTTTTAACTGTTTAAAATCATTCCTATTGTCGAAAGCGTATTCAAGTTATCTAATCATATTCTACGAAAAGTATATTTGTCGAATTTGTGAAATGTCTCCTTGGAGTTTCGAAATTAATACTTAATCATCTGTACTTAGCATTCCTATTCATCTCATATCTCATGTTCATGTCAAAACGTTGATAACAAAACCTCGGTCTAACAATTTAGTTTGATTTTATTTGATTTTGTTGAATTTGATTTAGTTCCATTTCTTTCGACTTGGTTTGGTTCCTTTCTTTATCTGCTTCTCATTTCTCTAATTGTTTTAGCTCTTACTTTTTTTTTTAGATCTTAGTTATTTTAATTTTACATATTTGATTTGATGTTAAGTATGTCTTTATTTTTTTTTTTATAATCTCTCAATACTTTGAACTAGATAATATTGTAAATTGAGAAAAAAGAATATAAATTAATAGTATAAAATATTTTTACATTGTCAATCAATCAAAGATATGTATTCCGCCAAATCGCATATTTAAGTTTAAAATATTAACCTAACATTAAAATATTATAATTCTATTAAATATTGGTGTAAAATTAACTTACACTAATAATACTACCTTTAATCTCATGTGAATTTAAGAAAATATGTTAATAATATGTAATGGACATATATTGTAATTGGACAAAGACTATATTAATCTATTTATACTTTATTTTATATTCTTTTCTAAACTATTTTTATAAGATATGCTATTATTTTTACGGAAACTAACATTTTCTTCCTTAGTTTATTTTTTTAAAGATATTCATTTTTATGAAAACTAATATTTTTCTTATTCATTAATTTATTATTTTTTTAATACTTTTTCTATTTTAAAATGATTGTCGTTTAAGGTTTTTGCACACAGATTAAAAAATATAAGGATATTGTTATAAGATATTGTACTTTTATGAGACAGTTGAAAAAATATCTATCTACTTTTAATAATATATAAAAGTTAATTACCACCATAATTATTTAATTACCCTAATTACAATCCATAATATAGCTAATTTCATGTTCCTATAAGTAATTTCGTAATAAACTCTTTTTAATATTCTAACTAACCCTACCATTTTGCAATTTAATAAATTTGCCTCGACAACATAAAGAAACTCTTTTTGATACTCTAACTAACCCTACCATAGGTTTTATTTAATTGAATAAATTGATATTATTATTATTAATATTGTTATTTATTAATATTTATTATCATCATTATTAATCACATTTACCCGCTTAATAACTCAAAATATTCTAAAACCACTATTCCAAAACCACTGACAATATTAACCATTTTAAATGTAATTGATACAGATATGCAACTTCCAATACACTGTTTCAACCCTAAAAAATCAATATATCCACATCTTTCACTTCAATATTTTTTGTTTATATTTGAAACAAATTTTCCCAAAAGTAACCATCATTAATGCTCTACTTTAACATCACATCAAACTTATATCTATCATACTTTTCAATAAAAATTGAAACCAAATTTGAATAATATAATATTAATTTTTTTTCAATCTAACAAATTTATTTCATTGCCCTATAAGATTATTAAAATACAATTTTAAATTAATTTCAGGTACAATATTCTGTTTGGATTCATATATTTAAAAAAAAATTATTATGTAATTGCAATTTTTATAAATTCATTCTGTACATTGACAATATTTTTTCTTAATACTGTTTTTTTCTTACATTGACAATATTTTTTCTTACCTATTTATACTACTAAAAAAATATTATCGTTATTTTATTGTTGTTGCAATCTTATCATTCCAAAACGAAATCAATATCCTGAAATCAAATTAATTATTATTGTAGTTTTTTGCCAAATATTATCGTTGCTTGATTTTCTTTAAATGACAAAATGAATTTTTTTAATAATAAATATTACCGTTATTTTATTGTTGTTGCAATCTTATCATTCCAAAATGAAATCAATATCCTGAAATTAAATTAATTATTATTGTATTTTTTTTGCCAAATATTATCGTTACTTGATTTTCTTTAAATGACAAATTGAATTTTTTAAATAATAAATATGAACCACTTAAATTGAATTTTTGTCAATCCTTCTACAATTCTCTCTCAAACAAAGGTACGTTTTTAATAGATTTATACATTTTCACCATTTTTTTCTTTATCTTTTTTTTTGTCAATCCTTCTACAATTATCTCTTAAACAAAGGTACGTTTTTAAACAGATTTATACATTTTTTCCAGTGAAAATGAGTAGAAAGGTTGATTCTGTGAAAGACATCAATGACTCAAAAAAAACTTGGCGTCTTGCTGTTCGAATAATAGATGTTTGGAGTGTTGTGAATAATAAGGGTATTGAATATTTGGAGATGATTGTTATGGATTCCTTGATAAATTGCTTTTTTTTTAAGTATAGATTTTTGTATGATAGTTAGTAATTACAACAAAATTTCCCTAAAACGAAAGTTATTTTGAAATGGAGTCAATAAGACCTATTGTGTTTATTTCAAAAAATAAATAAATTATTGTGTGTTTTAAATCTGACTCAATTTTAATTCTTTTGATTTGTTTTCTCTATATCTTCTAATTTTTCCTCTATTGATTAATTCTAATGTCACTTTAATAATTTTTCATGTTATTTAAATCTGAATTTGTTGAGTTTAGTTTTTAAAATTTATTTTAATGGTGTTAAATTTTGAAACTAAATCTGAAACGCTTGGATGGCAGTGGTTAGCTTTGTTTTCTCATTGTTCTATTTTATTTTTTAATAAATATATTAAATTAAATTCAAATAATTTACTGGTTGATATTAACTTGTGTTCTAAAAGCTTTAATTTAAATAATTATCACTCTCATATAAAATAATTCAACTAGTCAAATCATAGGCAGAACAAACTAAATAAGAAATTTATTACATGGCTAGTTTGAGGAAAAAGTGAGAAAGGAAATTACTTTTCCGCCTATATAACTGGAAAAAAAAATTATAAATATATGTATGTATAAGTAGATCCCAACTACTATTACCATAATAAATCTATACCAACTATTGTTCAAATCTTTTCAATATCTTCTAATTTTATCCATGCATTTATTCCTTAAACATGGTCGGTTGGTTGAGCAAGAAAACAAATAAATTTGACATCAAACTCTGCCACCTTATATTTTCAACAGCAGCAATTAACTTACTCTATTCATATCATGTCCTCTGAAAATCATAACCTCTGTATTGAACGGCCAATTATGGATATAGGTTTATCTATGTTCACGCAGTCAGCCACATCTATTGTCATTGAATTGGGAATAGACCGAATAGATTTCAAATATTTTGAAATCTATTCGGTCAGATCTTCAACAATAACCATCAATATGATCGAATGTGTGAATGTGGATAACCTAATTTCATCAACACATGAACATAGAGAACTTCACATCCGAAGACTCGAAATAACAAATATTGATAGTGTCGAAATTCAAATTCAGATAACAAACTATATAGGTACATAATACAGATATCAATCAATCAAACACCACATGAGTAACTATGCAAAACAGAACATCATCTCAATCTACTACTCAAAAAGTTTAACAAAATGTTGTTTGTACATTAAGTAAACAGATTCTATATGAAACAATCCACTGCATATTACAACTACTAGAAAACAAAATGTAACACTAAAATTGTATAATGTTAATCCATGAAATATTCCCAACATCATCATTGTACACATCAAACATGTTAGAGAACGAGAACAAAAACCAAAGAAGTACAACAAAAGGGCTTCTTCTGTTCCTCATTAGTAGTATAACATAACCCAATGTAATGTAACTAAAATGGAAAAAAGGTTACATAAAACGTGAAAGGGAAACTTAAACTAACAATAACAATATACAAAGAGTACCGATTGTTCCCATGATTCCACAAATTCATACATTATCTCCCCCCAACAAAGAATTTCAACCCAATAATTTCTCTTTTCGAAAGAAAAAAAATGAAGAAAGAATTGATAAGAAAAGTGAGTAAATTTTTTCAAGAAGAAGAAGGCTCGTATGTGTTGTCATTGGCATTCAAAAGCTGTCTCCTTTTGATTACCAAGAACCCAACCAGACCAACCTGGAGTAAAGCCGCAATGCCAAGGAACAAAAGTCCGACCATTTTCCCAGCATTCATTCCGTGTGGAGGAGGAGGCGGAGGCGGAGGAGGCGGAGGCGGGGGTGGAGGCGGTGAATGAACAGGGTGGTGGTGGCGGTGACGGTGGTGTGGAGGGGGTGGTGATGTTATTTTAATGGGAGGAAAATTGGGATCCAGACGAGGAGGTGGTGTTGCTGGCGGAGGAGGAGGAGGAGGCGGCGGAGGTGGCGGCGGAGGTGGTGGAGGTGAAGGCGACACCATAAAAACCGGCGTTAGTTGTGGTAGTTGTTGTCGTGATTGAGAATAGTTTACATCATTTATCTGAGATTGAACAACAAAAGCATAAAAGCTAATAAAAAAACCGAAAATCAAAACTCCCAATGGCGAAAATGTGGAACCCATGGAACAACAACGATCGAAGAATCACGTTGAATTCCAATACGAATAATTAGGGTTTGTAGATACAAAAGGGGTTTTTTTCCACATCTACCCCCAGGTAGAAAAATTCCAATAACAATGAAAGGATCCCGCTGAATCGAAATGGGTGCGAATCAAAATCGTTGATTGATGATTAATGCGATGAGAATTCGAGAATGAAGGCATCTAGGGTTTTTGGCGTTTCAGCCCCCAAAAACGCAAAAAAAAAACAAAAAAAAAAACAAAAAAAAAAAGTCGTTTCAGGAGAGAAAGAGAGATTTTGAGATTTGAAAAATGAAAATTAAATGTGAATCTCTTTCTCTCTCTTTCTCTCTGAGATTGTTTATGAGAAATGGGAGAATTGGGGGTGAATGATTATGGAATAGAAGAAGAAGTTGCAGGGAGAGAGATAGAGAGGGAGGGAGAGAGAGAGTAAACGAAGGTTCAACGGTTGGGGGAAGCTAATTTAGGAGAGTAATGAGCTAGCAACATGGAACGAATCTTCCCATCTGTCATCACTCTAGATTTATTTCTTATGTGTCCCTCTTTCTGTTACTTTCAATAATTTTGTATCTAAGGAAATCATTAATTTCTTTTTGACATATTTTTTCTTCATAATCCAATGTTTATTAGAGTGTTTGAGAGACCATCATGTCACCAACCGTGTGAGTATAATATTAAATCTTTGTAAGATTAACTTAATGACTATTGTCTAAAAATAGGTGGTATTTATTTTGGTTACATGAGAAAAAGAAGGGAAGAAAATAAATATTAGCTATATTGATTATGAGTGTTTATGAGTTTATGAATGAATATGAGAAAACTACTTCAAGCATAAATTGAATGTTATATTTTGATGCATAGTACTCATTCACTCTCTTTTTTTTCTCCTTGTTTTCTTCTCGGCAATAACTTCCATAACAATTGAGAAAATGCATAGAGAAAATAAAACTGAATTCAAGTGAGAGTCAGAAAGAGGAGAGATAGAGAAAAGGATCGCATTAAGACCAATAGAAAGACTTCGATCAATAATGAAATCACATGTTACGTAAACAACATTCTAAAGAATACTAGTGGAAAAGAATTAGAGAGAGTGTTTGCAAGATGAAGAAAGGTAGTGGATGTTTACTTAGCAAAAAAGAAGAAATAAATAGGGTAAATTTTTCGGGTTTGTGAGATTCAAAGGTGTAGAGAATCCAAAATGGCTGGAGAATCAACTTAGGAATATATGGTTCGAATCGTATAAAATGTGGGTGAACATCTCAAAATTTGAAAGAAAAAACTTGAATGAAGCTCCGAAGGTGGCAGCAAAACGTGAGATGTATATGTATATAAATAAGGAAGCGAACAAAAATAGAGAGAAATTCATCAAACCCAAAAACAGTATCATTAAAGGCATAAGGAAGAAGGGAAGATCGTACGCAGATGCTTTAAAAATTAATGGAGGAAGACACGATGCTAGAACAGAAGCTACCAATAGAAGTCATATGGAAGACAAAGAAGGTTGGAAGGATAGAACAAAGGAATGGGCTGGCATATCAATCACAGTAACTGAAGAAGAAATGTTATGGTCGAAAAAAAGGATATGTCGGGTGTGTTCGTGAAGTTAAAGAGATCCAAAGTCTTCAACAATGTATGACGGACGAAGGTATTAACACAATTGAAATCATCCCCCTAGGAGGAGAAAAAGTTTTCTTAAAAGTAGATGAAGACAAGGATTTCAAAGAACTTGGAAAGGAATCAAATCATTTGTTCAATAGTTAGTTTAGTGTAGTTAGAGAGTGGGAAACTAAGGATATAAATGCAATAAGATATATTTGGTGCCGCATATATGGAGTTCTGATTCATGCTTGGAGAAAAAAGACTTTATCAACTTTATTGTTCTCTCTTGGAAGACTCATCATGATGGATGCAACAACAGAGACTTTACAGAGATTTGATGTGGCACGGATGTTGATTAGAACACCTATCATAGAATTTATAAGTAATACTAAGAGAGTCTAGATCAAGGAGGAGTTTTTCACCATTCGTATAACATAAGAAATTTGTGATTGTTATACGTCTCAAGTCGAGTCCGATTTTCATGACAACTTAGAGAATTCGATTGAGGATGATACTGATGATTCAGACGATAGCTTTATCCCCAGTCAATTTCTTCCATGGATGATGATGAGAACATGAAGAGGATCGAGGAAAATTTCTAGCACATGTTACGATAAAAGAAGTATAGCAATCATGATATGAGGGAGGAGCTCGAGAATAACAACTCTGCTGGAATGAGAAGACTAAGAGGTTAAGCAATTATGAAAGTATGAGGTTCAAGGAGGGTGTGAACTATAATTCCAAGGGAACAATTGTAACACCTCATTTAATTATTTAGTCGTTTTATGCTTTATTGTGTATTATTTGTGATTTTATTGATTTAATTAAGGGCGGGTGTGAGAGCTTAGTAAAAGGACTTAATCGGAATTAAAGGTTAGGATGACATGGTAATAATAATATGATAGTGAGGCATTTTATTAATGTTAATATTAGTGTATCAATATTAATATTCTTATGGTTATGATTATTAACATTATTATTATTGGGATTATTATTATTATTATTATTATCATCATCATCATTATTATTGTTATTATTATTAAAATAATTATTAAAACATAATTAGAGGAATTAGTGGGGAGGTTAACAAAACTCAGTTTCTTCTACGTGAAAAGAGCAAGAGAAAGAATAAGGGAGAGCTAGGGTAAGAAGGGAGTTTCCACCATTGTTGAAGAATTTGAAGCTCAGATTCAAGTAAGGGGGAGAATGGGACAATAATGGTGAATTTAACATGAGAGAGTAGTGAGGGTTTCTTTCCTCTTAGGATTTTCGTATTAATTCTTCTCCTTGTGTTCTTGATTGATATTCATATGAATGTTATGAAAATTGTGTTGTGTGTGTTGATGATGATGTAAATTCGTGACTGTGATGTTAATGTTGTTACGAAGTTGTAGGCAATTCTATGTTTTACCATGTTGCAGATCTGGATAATTAAAGGATTTAAGAAGTGATGAAAATTGAATTTAGTTGATGAACAATCGTGATAGAAACAATAGGTTAATGTGAGAGGATGGATTATGAGACATAAATTGGTATGGAGGATTGTTTTGAATCTATGTTGGTTCTGAAATGAGGGATCAAAGGGTGGTAATTTGTAAAAATGTAGAAAACTGAATTTGGGTTCAGGCATTGGCCATACGCGTAACAAGTGAGGCATTACGCGTATGGAAGGGAACCCCTGAGGCATTACGCGTAAGGCACTGGGCATTACGCGTATGGGCCTGGGAAATATGGGGCATTACTCGTATGGCCAAGGGCAATACGCGTATGGGCCTGGGCAATTTGGGGCATTACGCGTATGGGAGTATATTACGCGTAAGGGAATCTAAAAATGGACTTTTGGGAAAAAACGTCTCTGGTCATACGCGTAAGGCACGAGCCTGAGCAATTTGGGGGATTACGCGTAAGGCCAAGGGCAATACGCGTATGAGCCTAAGCAATTTGTGGCGCGTATGGCCAAGGGCAAGACGCATATGGGCCTGGGTAATTTGGGGCATTACGCGTATGGCCAAGGGCAATACGCGTATGGCCAAGGGTTGTAGTACAATTTTCCCATTTTCGCGATTTTTGTCCCGACTTCGTGTGCGATGCAATTTCCCTTGATCCGTAAGACTAAGATGGTATAGTTGGACATAAGAGAAACTAGTAATAACATTATGTAGAATAAAATATGGATTTTTATGAGAATGTATAGTCGAGACGTGTTGGATGTGTGTGAGCCAAGATTGTCATGTATGGACAGTCTTGTGCTGTGGTGGTAATTCCTGAGAGAACTACGGTGAGCAGGTGGCTCACGTGTGATCATTGAGGATCGTGAAGTTGTGCTTGAATATTTATTATGTTGTGCATAATTTGTGTCATGCATTCATGTCATGTTATATGGAGACGAGCTAGGTGAGAATCCATGATGGGTGCCTAGTCTTGTTCAGACTCTATGTGGGAGTCGTGCGGAGATAAGTTGTAGTTCAAAGGAACGTATACGACTTATCTAGATTTCAACGGGAATCGGGTTCTAGGATGAACCGTATGCGATTGTGATGGTACCACATGCATCGTGTCATGTCAGTGAGTCATATTGCATACTTATATATATGATTGAATGTGGGATGTTTATGCTGATCGATGATGTGGCACTTTTATGTGCGTGATAATTATGTGATTGGTATGTTAACTACTCTTAGCATATGTTTTTCATCGCGTATTTATTGAATGTAGTTCTCACCCCCTTTTCTGTTTGTTGTGTTTGTACTCTTTCAGGGAGTACAAATGATCAAGTACCTGAGTAGTGTTTGGAGCATTGTGTTGCTATTTGATCGAGTCTTAGGAGTTGCTCTAATACATAACACAAGAAGGATGTGAATTTCGTTATGTTTTCATGTTATTTGACTTTGTATTTGTTATGTATCTGGTTTTGATTAAATTGTTGTGGAGCCACGTATTAAGTGGGGAATTGATGTATTTGGTGTTTACATGTTAAACTGTTTGATTTAATTCCGCTGATTATTTATATTACTTATTTTTATGGAATAAATAAAAGGTGAAGCGCATTGATACTTCACTTTGACATTTTTTTTGAATGTGACATCCTATGTGTATTAACTCTTATTTGGTTCCGCATTATTTTCGTATTTTTCAATTATTATACGAATGGATAGAGTAGGGTGTTACAATTGGTATCAGAGCAGGTTGGTCTGTCCGGCCAGTGTAGTAGTAGAGTCTGACTATAGAGTGTGTATAGTCGTGAGTTTCCTTTAATCCGTGTTTCCTTTGGTGTTGAGTAGTATGGCTAGTAGGAATGATAATGCAATTGCTTTTCCACTTCAAGCTATTGTGCAGGCGGTGCAGGGCATCACTCAGAGTGCTAGAGACGTAGAGTTCCGCAA